ACTGCCCGTCAGCTTCCTCCCCCTCTCTGCCGCCCTTTGTAGGCCTCAGCAGGGAAGAGGAGGGGGGCAAAACTTGTTATCTGCCCGGCTTTACCCCCGCCCTGCAGTCCCTGCCCAGAGGCACCAGCCACCGCTGCCCCCTTGGTTAAGTCCAGAGTAAATCCCTCTGGTCTTTGTCCATGGAGTTTTCTTGGCAGGGATTGAGTGGCTTGCCGGTTCCTGCTCCAGGTGGATCTCGTTTGGTCAAAACTCTCCACTATGACCTGTCCATCTTGGGTGGCCCTGCACGGCATAGCTCATAGCTTCTCTGAGTTATTCAAGCCCCTTCGCCACGGCAAGACAGTTAAAGAAGGCTGATCTCCGAAGAATTGATGCTTTTGAATTATGGTGCTGGAGGAGACTCTTGAGAGTCCCATGGACTGCAAGAAGATCAAACCTATCCATTCTTAGGGAAATCAGCCCTGAGTGCTCACTGGAAGGACAGATCGTGAAGCTGAGGCTCCAATACTTTGGCCACCTCATGAGAAGACAAGACTCCCTGGAAAAGACCCTGATGTTGGGAAAGATGGAGGGCACAAGGAGAAGGGGACGACAGAGGACGAGATGGTTGGACAGTGTTCTCGAAGCTACCAGCATGAGTTTGACCAAACTGCGGGAGGCAGTGGAAGACAGGAGTGCCTCACGTGCTCTGGTCCATGGGGTCACGAAGAGTCGGACACGACTAAACGACTAAACAACAACAACAACAAATCCCCTGGAAGGGCTGTTCTGCCCTAGTCGACACGGAAAAAGGAAAGCGGCCCGGCGGAGCCTCCGCACCTCTCTGTCGTCCAGAATTGAAAAAGCCACGCTGTCAAAATAAATCCTGGACGGCTAAGGGGATGGATGGTTCCCTGCTCCTCTCAAGCTTGGGGAAGTCCGAAACGTGAAAACTCAGCAGTTCCATATCAAGGAGTGCAGCGGTTCCAAACACAGCTTGTATAACACCACCTAACGAGGGAAGTCGCCTAAAAACAACAAAATACAGGTCTCGCGGCCTTTCCTAAAAACAGCGGAGGAGACGGCGAGTTCCTTGGCTATTTTCAGGAAAGGACTCCAAGACCCCGAGTAACTGGATCCCTGCCATAAACTGAATCAGATCTTTCCTCCCACACCGGCAGCGCATAGGAAGCGAGGCTGGATGCGCAGGGCGCAACAGGGGGTGCGGGTGCTGGCGATAGAAGGAGAGGCGCCTTCCCACGCGACGGGGGTGACCAGCCTTGGCGACTGAACTGCATCCGGGACAGGACTTTCGTGTCAGCTCAAACCTCGTGACACCTGGGCGCCAAGCTCAACTCAGTGCAGACATTGACAAGGAGCGGGTGCAAGCATTGCAGAGATGAATGCTCACCCTTAGCTCCGAATGGCCCAAGGCACCGCCTTCAATTGTCTTAGAATCACAGAATCGTAGAGTTAGAAGGGACCCCCCCCCCAAAAAAAAGGGTCATCAGACTGTTCCTTGAGCTCCTCCAGCACCTTCACGGAGGAGGCCGTGAGCAGCCTTGAACACAACGGGAAACAAAGAACGGTGCCTGAGCCAGACCGCCGGCTTATCTAAGCCGGTCCTGCCTACACTGGTTGGCAGCAGCTCTCCTGGGGACATTCCCAGCCACGCCGGGAATTGAACCAAAGCACCTCTTCATGCGAGGCTGAGCTACCGGTCTGGCGCCCGGCTCTCCCTTTTGGACAAAGAGGGGAGTCGGTGTTTTGAAAGGAATGCGGGCTTCCTTGATACAGTGGTACCCCGGGTTACATACGCTTCAGGTTACAGACTCCGCTAACCCAGAAATATTACCTCGGGTTAAGAACTTTGCTTCGGGATGAGAACATAAATTGTGCTCCCGCGGCGCGGCAGCAGCAGGAGGTCCCATTAGTTAAAGTGGTGCTTCAGGTTAAGAACAGTTTCAGGTTAAGAACGGACCTCAGGGACGAATTAAGTACTTAACCCGAGGTACCACTGTATTCTCTCTTGATCTCCGTAAGGGAACAGTCGTGGCTGAGCTGATCTTTCCGGAAGGAGACGCAGAGGCACCGTGCAGGGATTACTAAAAACATCGGACTAACACCAGCGGGCAGAACCGGGTTCAGATCTCCGCTCAAGCCAGAAACTCATTGGCTGGTCATTGGATCCTCTCTCTCTCCCGATCCCTAATGTTGTTTTAAAGAGGACAAGTGGGAGAAGAGAGACCTCGCTTTGCCCCCCTCGAGTTGCTTTGGAGAAAAGACACGGTAAGAATCATAGGAGCCAACCACTAGGGGCCGAGGGGTCTTTGCCCCCCCCATACAATATTTGAGGGGGCCCACAAAGTTGATGTGCATTGCCATTCAAATGGTGATAGATTACGTGGGGCGGGGCTTACCTTCCTCCCCCCACCCAAATACTTTTGTTCAGGTTGTTAAGAATGGTCCTAAATAAATATGAATGAGATGCTTCCAAATCGGGAGCCTTTGGGCGCATCCTTCATGAGGACTGGATGCTTCTTTGCAGGACCACGCAACCCAACTTAGGTGCCAGCTGCCCACAAAATTCCCCATGAAAAGGCCGGGCACCCACACATTTCGGCGCCAGGGCCATGCACGCTGCAGGGCACCCACAGCCCCGGGAACCCACGGTCGCGGGACCAAGCTGGCTCTTCTGCTACCGAACCTGCGTTTCTGGGCTTGCTAATTGCTGGCTTGGCGTCGCGCACAGACGAAGGGAAACACGCCGCAGCAAACAGTAATTAAGCGAGCACGGCGTCTACGGGAAAGGAGACGCTCCCGACCTAAACTTGGCTTTTCTGATAGACAGAACTGTTCGCTGTCCTTTCTCAGCGTGAGACATTCAGGATCCAAGATGGCCAGAGATGGCTGGGATGCAAGACTAGGTGGGCGAGAACGGGGCGAGAGTGGAAACTCTACCTCCAGGAAAATCCTAAAATTAAATCATCTAGTCGCTCTGGAGTTGCCCCTCTCTGTCCTTCCACCCACCCCCGTTTTGTTGTTGTTTTTCCCGAAGGTAAGGCGACTTCTGGGGGTGGGGCGCTCTTATAATTCAGAAGTTTCTTAATGAAATGCAAGCCGCGGTTCGTTCTGTGGCTACTGGCTCATCGCTCGCTTGAGAGAGGGTTTTATCCCGCTTAAATATACGATAATTGTTGCTGCTACTCATACAGACGACCCGCAGCAACATGAGCTTACTCATGAGTAAGGTAAACGACTTCACGGACCCCCAAGACAAAGGGTGCTAAGAGTTAGGGTGGCCGTGGCTGTTCTCAGAGGCAGCCAGCGCGAGTTTTCCTTTTTTTTAGCAGGAAAGAGCACGGGGTGCCGGACGGCTTTTATCATTCCCCAAGCCAGAGTGCTGCCTGCAGGGTCCCACTTGAACCTGGGAACCTCAGATTTAAATCCCCACTCAGCGAAGAAACTCAGCCTACCCTCCCTCTCAGGGTTGTTGTGCCAAAATGTACGAGAAGGAGGAGGGGATGAAAAGTTAACTTTTTCAGATCAGGCGTCGGCTGTTCTCCTTCAGGGAGGGTTGTCCTTTAACTCTCCCCGCTCCATCCTCCCCCCACCCCCGCCCAAGTGAACACAGAAAGTTATTCTAAGTCTAAGCCATCTATTCTAAGGCATCGAGTGACAGCCGCCCTTGGGTGCTCCGCAGTCTGGCCAGATTAGCAGAACTCCTGCGCATTTCGCTCTGTCTGGTCATGGGAGAAGATAGCTAGGACTTGGGGAGACCCGCTCGGCATGAAAACGACTTCTGCTTCCCCAGAGCTGCCAGAAATGCGATAGTACTCCTAGCAACGTCAAGGCTAGCGGAGAGTGGGGAGGCTACGGAGGCAGTTCCGGAGAGAGCAAGAGGACGCTTCTCCACTGCTGTTATCTCCAAAGCTAACCTTGAGCTTCAGCCGCTCCTTAATCCTAAACGAAGCGCAGCAGGCCAGGACTGTCCGGCCCTGTTCAGCACGAGCTTGCCGTCCTTGGCTTGCTGCATTTAAAATCTGAGGTGGGGGCGCATTTCCTACTCTTGGTTCGTACTTTACCTCAAGCTCTCCAGACCAGAGACTGGCGATGCAGAGACTGTTCCTCTAAAGGTTAAGATAGGGCTTTCCTTCCCGTTTACTTCGCATTTGCTCAGTTTAGAGCATTACTTGGAGTGTGATCCCATTGATGACTTGGCTAAGAGGAAAACTTGCATCGTGTGAGCATTTCCTACCATTGAAGTCAGTGGGAACGCGAATGAACCTCGCGATTCTGTTGGATGCAATAATGCGCACGCGCGAGCACACACGCACACTCCTGGCCCCGCTCCACTTAGAAACCCAGGAGAACCGCTTAGGAACCAGCGAGGGGGAAAAGTCCGAGATGGACCCCTGCCTTTCAGCGTTCACCCATGCAGCTTCCACTGCTTGTTGAGTACCAGCTAAGCAACAAATAAAAATAATAGGGTTCTACTCTCGTTTTTAACCTCCGGTATATTCAGATCACTGTTGGAATGAGTGGCAGGGAGGTCTTAGACTGGAAATAATGTGGCAACAGGATGGGAGTTAAAAAAACAGGCCGGTATAAGCAGAGAGACCAAAGCAAACCACTGGCAGAAATTCCTAGCCCAGTTCCCTTTCTAGGCTGGTAATAAATTTTATCATCTGGGTCTCTTCCAGGGCTTAAATGTCTTCTTAAGCTACCCCCGCCCCCCTTGAGAGATGTGTTCCAACAAAGATAGTCACAGGCAGCATCTTTTCCCCTTGACTGAAACATCTCACTCAGGAAATGGTACCCAGCACAGCCCCCTCTGGTTACTGCAGCAGAAGCACTGCTGAGTCAGCAAAAGTGGCCCAGTCGCCTCCCACCCCCCAACCCAGCCACAAGCCTTTCCAGCAGGGAAACACACTGCCAGCAACCCTCTGTATTGCAAATGGGGGGGGGGGTTTGCATCTCTCTTGCACTCCACAGAGCAACAAACAAAACAAAGCCAAGTCTCTATTTACAAAGTCGTATATATATTTCAGTTCACATAAAAAGCAGGTACTGTATTAGACATTCAACACTGGCCGAAGACACCTACTTAAGCTTCACTTCTGAGACTTGTTAGGCCAGATCCATGATTATAGGTTTTGTATTTTCTTTTCCTTTTTTTTTTACAAAGAGAATTAAATAACTCACACGCACATACATTCAATATATGTAACTATGTACATACACATATACACCCACATGTATGTTTAGCTTTTATATACCCATGGGCATGCGTCAAGAGACACATGTCCGTCAGTGGCACAGAGCCACCTTTGACACCTGAGGAGGTAGGGACCGCATTTGTGATCTATTTTCAACCCAAGAGGCATTCCTCCTGGCCACTACCCTTTCCCCAACCCCAAACCCTCCAGCCTCTGTAGCAGGACTACGGAAACCTTTGTCAACATACAAAAAGCTGACATACATATTCCCCACCCACCCCATGTAGGAGAACTGAACGCATCTGTAGTTTGTTTCATGAATTTTTTGAACTGAGTTTGAAATATTGGCTTCATTTTAGAAAGGAGGGGACAGAAAACAAGAACCTGACTTACTTCCCTCGGTACAGTCCCAACGAAAATCCCCACATTTGTTTCGTTGGAAGAAACCTCCAAAATAATGAACAGAAGCAAGAAGGTAGGTGAAGAAGCAAGACATTTCTAGTTGAAACCAGGGAAGGAAAACAGCCCTCCTTGTGCTTCCTTCTTACACCCAACCTTCATCCTCCCCATGTCTCATTATGCCACATGTGCTTTCATCCCCAGCGCCGTCCCCAAATTAGAGCATGCTTTAAAAGGTTCCAGCAAGTAGGCCATTCAGAGAAAAGACAGAGAAGGCTACTCACCTCCCCCCCCCCGCCGCCAGGCCCTTAGAGACTGCTAGACAGATTTGTGCTTTTTGAACCAAGAAGAGATGCTTAAATCAATATCTATTGGGACACCACAACACCTGCTAAACACAAACGAGAGCAAAGCCAGCCTCCCATTCTGCACACATCCCCTCTTAATGTGGGAGGGTCTAACACAGGGTTAGGAAACAAATTTGCATTCCCGGAAAAAAACAACAACTGGAGGGAGCTGAATATAGCAACGCATTTTACAAATCTTCAAATGTCAAGAGTGCTTTATGCAAGGGAGCAGGAAAAAGGGGTTTATGTTCAGCATAAAACTGGCAGGTGAAAATAACTATTTGACTGTTGATCACAGAAAGAAGAAGAATCTCGTGTGGGACTGGGGGTAAGGGGGGGGGGGCGGAGCAGAATATACTTCTTCCCAGAAAGTACAAGAGAAAGAAAGCCACATATAAACAGGCAGCTTGCTTTGTAACTGATCCTGTGCCCCTAATTAAGTGTCTTTTAAAGAGGAGCTGCTTTCTCAGCCTCTATAATGGAGGCTTAACATTTCTGAGAATGATAAAGATCTTCCCTAACACACCTTTTTAAAGACCCATCTAACAACCAGGGAAGAAGGTCAATTGTGGGGAAGTTGGGGGGGAAGAGAGAGGAGGTTTACTTTCAATGTAACAGCAGGATTGCCTAAAATATGAGCAGTGAGATACTTTCCTCCCCAACTTTTCTGGCATGTAAGGAATGTAAACAGATTTTTCTTTTTTTGGAGTGACTAGGGAAGGACGAAAGAAAGAAAGAAAGAAAGACCAGAACAAGTTAAGCTAAACTATCAGCTCAGTTACTTCTCCCCACCCCCTTCTCCCCACAAGTCATTTTAAAGTGCATGACAGCAGCTACACTTTTTCGGAATCTTGAAACATACAAAGCCCCTTTTCCCTTGCAAGAAAAGGTCATTCAAGTTAATACTTCTTTGCTAAAACATCTTTCGGTTTTTTGTTTTTTTAATTGACACATTTTATAGCAACAACTTTTTTAAAAAACCAAAAAACTGGAGCAAAACATATGAAAGACAATACTGTAAAGTCAAGTGCTCACTTCAGCTGCCCAGCTAGAACAGTTGTGTATACAGCACACTTGATTGTACAAAGCAACACCTTATAATATAACAATCAAGAAACTGGAGACCTTTTTCGTCCCCCCAGGTGAATATAATATCCCCTATTTGCCCTCATCTTCTTTGGGGGAAGGGACAGGGTAAAAAAAGGAAAACAAACAAACCAGAAAAAATGAAATCAATATGTTATAATTAGCTAATAAGGTCATTCACTATCTACACCTGCTCTTGCAACTGAAGTAAGACATACATCAGTTCTGTTTTTTTTACCGTCCTTTTCCAAGAGCCTTAAATAAAAAACCAACAACTTAGAGTTGAAATATATATGTATATAGATATATATATGTATTTTTCTTTAAATAACATATTTACATCTAATAGAAAATATAACTCTAGAGATAATTTTTCCAACCAAAATTGAAATTGGTGGTGAGGGACTAAATGAATGAGTTAAGGACAGGTGTTTCCCCCCCCTCCCCCAATCCTGTCCAATAAACCAAAAATCCAGAACCAGACAACAACCTCTACCCCAAACCCTTTAGATGCCTCCTCTTCTCAAAAGGAATTCATCGCTTTTCCTTGAAGAACCCTTGGTCTGTGCTGCTCTCCTTAATGGTAACTGTCAAGAAATTAGACGTCACATCAGTCACTACCACTTTCTCCAAGTTGTTGAGAGATGGGCTCCAAGCTTCCTCTTCCGGGTCACCAAGGATCCTGGAGACAGGGATGCGGGCAATGAGAGAAGGCCTGCCAGCCTGGGTCCCTATACCATCTCGGTATAAGCCGCCTTGGCTCGCAGAGCTGTGCAAGATCTTAGGGGCGCCCAAGTCCAAACTACTTTGCCCTTTCGGATCCAGGAAATCTGCCCTGTGCTTTGTTAGCCTGGGGGGGTAGGCCTCAGGTGCACACAGCTTAATGCCAGCTTCTGCTCTGGGGCTGGAGACAGCGCTGGGTAACTCAGGCTCCCTTCTCCGAGCTAACTGGATCACACTGTGTCCTGAACTGAATTTGGCTGTGCCCGGGTTAGATGCCTCTTCCAGTTTTCTGGCCTTTAGGTAATCGACCACGGCCTTGTCCCCTGGCTCCATCAATTTCCGCTTGCAGGCCACGTCAGCCGATTCAGGCAGGTCTTTGTAGAGCTCTTTCCTGGGCTTGGGGCCTCGCTTTTTAAAGGCTGCTTCAGACCGGTCTTCCTCTGCCCCAATCCTGTTTTCCTGGATGGTCTCCACTCGGGAGGTGTTGGTGGTAGCAGTGGCAGAGGTGCTTTGAGGGGGCAATGGGATTTGCCTCAGTCCTTCCCTAGCACGGGAAGTAGAACCCATCTCCTGGGGGGACCTTCCTGGGTACGGCACCCGGATCCCCCTAGCAGAGTCGCTACGGAATTCATAGGTCTTAGCTTTGGCTTTTGCCTGGGCCTGCAAACAGAAAAGAACAGATAAAAAGGAACTGATCTAATACTTTGCCACAGCAGCTTCATAAATTTAGCTTATAAGGCTATCACAGTGTTTGTTTTTCCCTCTGGCGCACATATAGATATAAACACAGCAATGGAATCATCCCTCATTAGCAATGCTGCTTTTTGATGTGATTTCTGTTACAAGTAGTCATTTGCCAGAAGACACCTCTCTCTTTATCCTGTACACTTCCTCTTACCTTTAGCAAAAACGTTTTGGGTTTGGGGCCTCGTTTCTTAGGACCATAAAGTTCCATTTCTCTTTCCCTAAATGAGGTTTTTAAAAAGAAAAAAGGATTTAAAAAAAAAACAAAAACAGAAGATCATAGCATCAGATTAGCACTGCTCCAAAACACAGTGATATGGGTGAAAAGTAATTCCCCCTGCCTAAAGAGCATACCTTTCCTCAAAAGCTGCAAGCAGACGCGCATCTAGAATATTTTCCTCAGGTTCCCAGGTGCTGTATCTAGCCAAAGGAGAAGGAAAACAAAATGAGGTGGTGTGAGGGGTTGTTTCTTTAATGCGTTCTTATTTTCCAGAACAGAACGAGTGGATGGTAACTTAAAAGATCGTCCAGTCTATCCCTCTTTCCATTAAAACACTATATTCAATTTTACTGCAAAATAAAACAAGGCCAACACCATCCTAAATACACATTCCGCTTCAAGGACTGCCTTTGACAGTTACTTACTTCTGAGACCAGCCCTTCCATTTCACAAGATATTCCATACGACCCTGCAGATGTCAAGAGGAGAAGACAAATTAGCATGCATTTCAGGAAAAGGAGGGGGGCGGTCCAGAAGAATGCAATACAACCCTCAAAACCATGCTTGTAATAAAAACCAAAGGTGTACTCAAAAGCATGTGTCAGGCGTGTGGGTGTGTGCAGTGTGTATGTGTGTGTGGCCAAAAGCGTGCCACAAAAATGCACATACAAGCGGCAAGGGCGAGAGAGAAATCCATACATGAAAAAGGGGGCGTGCTGCAAAAAACGTGATCAAACATGCATGCAGCGAATGCGTGCAGCGAAAGATCCGTGCAGCAGCCCGAACGGTGCATGCATGCAAAGGAAGGAGGCGCAGGAGCCGCTTTCGATGGCGGTGGCGCTGGCACCGTGCGCAACGCGAGCAGCAGCCCGGAGGAAGCGGCGGGGCTCCGGAGTGCTGCTGCTGCTGCTGCATCAGAAGGAGAAGGCAGGGGGGAGCAGCCGGGCCAGCGCCGCTCGCCCGCCTGCCTGCCTGCCTGCGGCCTCGCGCGGGGCCTGCGGGCCCGGGGGCGGCGCGCACAAAGCCCCGACAGGCGCTTCCCGTGCGCGCGAGGGCACCTACTTTGCGGATGCGTCTCTTCAGCAAGGCCTCGGCCGCGAACACCCTCTCGCCGACGGCGGAGAGCTCCATGTTTACTCGGCCGCGGGCAGCAGGAAAGCGGCGGCGGCGGCGGCGGCAGCAGCGGCGGCCAGCCCAGCCCAGACCATAATACTCCGCTCGCTGACGTCAGCCTTCGCCCTCCCTCGCCTGCCTCCGCACTTGTTGCTGGCGGAGCCTGGCTGCCTGGCTGCGTGCGCGCTCGCTCCCTCGGAGCAGCCTCGGCGGTGGAGAGAGAGCAGAGGAGAGAGGGAGGCCGCCGCCGCTGCCGGAGCTCCTCCGCTCGGCCTGGGCCCGGCTCTTCCCCCGGCCGCGCGGCGCCCGCCTCCCTGCGACGTGAGCCGCGTTTCAATCGCAAGGGGGCGGCGCCCAAGGAGCAGGGAGGCAGGAGGGGGCGGGCAGGCTGCGTCCCAAGGAGGAGGAGGAGGAGGAGGAGGAGGAGAGCAGGGAGGGGGCTCTCCAGAGGGGGGAGGGAGGAGGGGGTCCTCAGCTGTCTGGTTCTGGAGACCGGGGTGGGGGGGAGGGGTGCACATCTAGGCAGCCCTCCCCAGCCACCCCCCTTCCCCCTTTCGCAGAGAGACGCTGCAGCCTGGACTCGCTGCAGCTTGCCAAGGCACTGGGGCCCACGGCCTGATGATCTCCCTATTCACCGTGGGGTAGGGGGGGTGGGGGTAGAGGGCGAGGATGCGGGGTGGGGGTGGGAAGAAGGGTGGAATAAATTCAGTGGCATTTCTAGAAGCCGATGATACCATAACGGTTTTGTTGTGTGTGTGTGTGTTTCAAACGACTTATTTACAAAATAAACGACAACGACGCCTCCCTAAGCCTTGCAGAGGACCCCCTCCCTATCCGAAGATCAGGCGTGTTGGTAGAATAATAAAGGGGGGTGTCCACGCCGGGTGAATGGAGATGCCAAGTTTCCTCGGCTTGGGGTAGTGGATAGGTTTGGGAAATCGATGGCGTTCTCGATCCTCTAGGCAAGGACGGTTTGGTGGCGAGTGTGGCGCGCATTGCAAAAATAAATGAAATAATTTAGCCTATCCTTCACCCCCCCACACACGCGCCCGCCTCTCCTTCCTCCCACCGCGTAAAGTGCCTTTTAATAGCGGGAGGAGGAGGCGGGACCAGAATGGGTTAGGTACCACCACCGAAGCCGCCAGCCAGCGCGCTGCCTTCCTTGCACCCAGCTCAAGCAGACGCTGCATTTCCTGAACAGCAGCAGCAGCGACGTTTGTGCAGAGAAAGGGATTTGGAAAAGAAAGGGGGGGATAGCACTCAAATGCACACAATGGGCTGAAAAAGTCGACTCAGCAAGCGAACCCCCCATCTCTTTTTCGGTGGCACCGGAGGAAGAGGAGGACTGCTGCTCCTGGGACTGGACCTCTTTCCTTCCCAAGAGCCAGACACACAGAGCCGGGTCGCTTTCCTAGGCAGCCCTCGGTCGCCAAGGAAAAGCCTCGCTCCGCTCCCTCGTCCACCTCTGCCGAAACCAGGGGGGCTCCTGCGCTTTTCCACGAGCAAAGTGTTCTCCTTCCTCTGGAGTTCTGCTGCGTAGAAAAGTTGAAACGCAGCAGCCGTTCCGTTTTATGGCAACATATTGAGCAAAACTCGGTTGAACTTTGACTTAAGGCATATTTGCAGCATGACACATGCAGACAGATACGGGGACGGGGGTTGTGCACGTGTGTGAGAGGGATGCGGAAATATGCGATAGAAAAACCATAAACGCGCGATTTGCGCGGTGGAGAAAGAGTCTCTGTTACTTATTACCGATCTTTATTGACCTTTCCGTCCTAGGTGGGGAGGGATCTGAGCGGTAATAAAGTTAAACAGGAGATCCTAACTTTGCCTCCTTACTTGGCGGTAAGTTCCACGGACATCCATGACTCCCCACTTCAGAGTTAAGCACGTGTGGGATCGGAGCGAAAGAAACCTGCGAAGCTGCGATCCTAAGTAGACTTCTTTGACATCAGTTTGACTTTACCAACAAAACGTTTCCTGTGAACTCCGGGAATGACGGACAGACAAGGAGGGAGTTTTTGGCTGGATGGCTTTTGAAGACCCGCGCCCCATCCAGAAGTCAGTTATGCCGGATAATTTTGACGTGATCCCCAAATCAGGCTTCAAGATAAACTATTTCTGTCCAACTGCTTGAAGTCTGGAGCAAAAAACAACAACAAAACTCACTCCACAGGGACAGACAGACTTACTTACTATCCAGTACTGAATACAGATTTTCTGTTTCAGACGATTCGCTGTGCTTGTGCTGATAGGGTATAACAAAGGACCAAAAGTCAATATAAATGTATCAGAGTTCAGATCAATAGAGTACCTAGTTGGGAGTTTAAAAAAAGATACCCAGATAGTTAACCACGATATAGCTGCTTCCCCAAGGATGGATGGTTTAGATGGAGGTATTAAATATAAACCTATGAGACAGTCATATTATATATTGTATTATGGGTTAATAAAGCATATAACACTGGCGCGGGGAGACGACTACACGAGGTTATTTACAAATTACGTAAAATAAAAATAAAATAAAAAGATCACCTCATCGGACAATAGCAGCCAAAACTTTTCTCCTTTTTAAAGAAGCCAGCCGTGGACTACAAAGTCTTTCTTCGCAGCAAGAACGAGCGGTGCCAGCAATACAGCTGTTTCTGCTTAAGTTTAAATACTTTCCAACAGTTTGGGTAGTGAAAATAAAGCCGACCTCAAGAGCCTATAATACGAGGCTCCGGTTTCCTCGCGCCAAGTACCTCTGGGCTTAGCTTTTCGCAAGTTTGCTCCAGCAGGAGAGAAAGAGAGAGAGAGAAAATAATAATAATAAATAAAATAAAATAATAAAACGTAAGGGCGGCTGTGGGAGAGGAGATGATGAGGCGTTTGTCGCGTCCCACAAGGGGTGTCACAAGTGTCTGGGGGTTTGTAGACAAAGTGGCCCCGTGTGTGTTGAGCGATCAAGGCGTTTCTCTCCACTGAGAGACGGTGCCTCTTCCCCTCTTCCTTCGACCTCCCCTCCCCGCGTGGTCGGACTCCTCTTGCTGAACCATCCTGCAAGTTTCCCCCCTTAAGCCGCCTCCCCCGCCCTCCATCCCCTTTAAATCACTAATGGCTCTTTAAGACTGCAGCTATTTGTTTTAAGATACTATTTCTCTGCGTTTCATCCCTCAGTGACTTTACTGCCTCTTTACTCCAGTTAACTGTGTTTACTTTTCAGACGATTTGAAGGGACTCAAGAAGAAGTTCAGGCGCTGCGCGGAGAGGGAAGGCAGATAGGCTGGGAGTCATCCCCCGCCGGGTTTCAGAAACCGGGGAGGAAGGAATCACTTTTCCTTCTCTGTTCCGACGTGATCTGAACAGAAAGGATGGACTCGACCCGAAGAGTGGTATGGTTCAAAACTTAAGATGCATTTTGGTGCTATTTGCCACGACCAGGGGCGGAGGGGATATTTATAATAATGTGTTTTTTTAAAAAAAAGTAAAGAGTTTTGTGCAGCTCCTAGCACAGTGCTTGAGCAAAATAAATCAGATAGCGACAGTAAGATCCGTTAGTTAGGTACGCTCGTGATATCAGTGCCAAGGGTGTGCGGTGCTTTCCATTCTAGCTTAAACCCAGCATTTATCTCCACGATCTTACGTATTGGCCGTTATGGCTTCAGCAGTCATCAATCAATCAATCAATCAATCAATCAATCTCTGCATCGGAGGGATTCCTCTGAATGGTAAACTTGACTAGCAAAGGCAGCAATATTCAACATGTTTCTGAACAATCTGGGGACAGGGTTTTTAGGGCAGGTTTATTTCCAAAACGAAACAGCGTTGGTGTTGGGATCAGAATTATAGTACAAAACTTGAATTCAGCAGTATAAAGTTTAGAGGAAGGGTGTTTTCACTCGCTGTTTTCTTATTGCCACTGGGATAAAGAATATAGTAACAGGCCATCTCTGGAGTAGCCCCCGTGTCTATTCCACGCACTCCGTTGGGTTTTTACCGTCTGTCCCTCACACCTCTACCTGCTCCCCCCCCCAAAAAAAGCACAGTACAGACTAGAATAGCTTGTAGGCTCCGGTGCGAAATGCCTGTTCCGTTTCCAATCGCCTTGCTGGGACATCTGAGCTTCCCCAATGCCCGCGCGCCTCCGCTTGGAGAAATAAGGTAAAGGCTTTCTCTTCCACCTTGGCTCCCTCCATCTGGCTGCAATTTTGACTGTCTTGGAGCGAGTGCGAGCGCCTGTGTGAAAGTGGAAATAAAACGGTCTAGCATTGCGATTTTATGAAGAAAAAAATGCCAGCAGTTCCATTTAGGATCGTTAGCAGCGTGATAAATTAGCTCCCCCTTCTCCCCGGCTCGCCTACACACACACACACACACACACACACACACACACAGCCTCTGCTCCCCTCCCTCCCGGGCTCTCTCTTTGTGTGCGCGTGTTTATTTAATGGAACAGGGGCTGCCAAACACCTGTTTCCTCCCCCCGCGCGCGCCACGACGCGTGGCTTTTGTCTCGGCGGGCTCGGAGCTGAAATCGGGGACCAGGAGAGCGTTAGGAGACCGCAGCGTTGGGCGGGGTGTGCAGGAGAGCAGCTAAGGCGATGTTTTCCCCATTAGAGCTGTATTTGCGATATGGAGAGAGGGGGGGGTGGAGGAGGAGGAGAAGGACCGAGAAGAGAACTGCCCGGGGATGCCCCGTCCAAAGGGCTGGAAATAAGAGGAGGAGGGGCCTGTTCTGCGTTCCAAATGGGGATCTCTCCAAGGCTGGCTGGCTAGCTGGCTGGCTGCCTGGCGATCCCTCACCCCCCACCCCACCCCCGCTTCCCAAACATCTCATTCGGCAGCCTGGGGATATAGATCACCATATTCATACCGAGGCTGTATCGGAAACAGCCTGGAGGCGGACAGCAGGGAGGAACGAACCAACAGTGCGCATTCTGATATAAATATACTATGCAGACGATGCAGTAAGGAGCGCGCAACGTGCAAACAGCGTACACACACACACACACACACACACACACACACACACACACAGTGACAAGCCTGTGATGCTCGGATCCTGGCGCGCCTGCGCGGCGATTGGAGGGAATGCCCGAGTCAGGTGGCGTCTCGCGCGTGCTCGCGTGGCCCGGGAGAACCAGCGGGGGGCGTCGCGGAGGCGCGAAGCGAGCAGAAGAGATTACGAGAGGGCTGAGCCCGAGATTGCGACACTGCGCCCGAGATTTACTGGTCGGTGCGAGTAGAGAAGAAGCGGTTCCGGCGTTGCTGGGCGAAATGCGAGCAACACTCACGCGGCAGGGACGACACACGGTGCCATTTCCCAAGCAG